TGTTAATGCCGTAGCTATCATTATAAATAAATAACATCAATGTAATTATTACGTTTTCATACATGATATAATTGGTCTCCGGGACGGGGGGAAGTTGTGGCAAGGAAACCAGTCATCCACCCACCAACCCCCTCCCCTTCCTCCAGCGTGCGAAAGAAAACGTTGCTTATGGTGAGATTAGGAGGGAGTGTGGCGGGCGTGGGGTGGGGCGGTGTAGTGGCAGAGCGCAGCGCCAGCCGACAACGAGAGCGTTCTTATCATCAGTTCACTACGGGAAGCTGTTCGGGTCGGACGCTACATGCTGCACTTCCCCCGCTCCTGCCTCCACGCAACTAGCTCTGCTTACTGCACTGTCCACACGACTCTGTTACTGTTCTTGTAACAATATTAAAATTTATCGAACTTTACATAATTTGAGGATACATCTACACAGTGCTTTCAAAACTTAAAACCTCTTTAGTTATATACCATTTATATACTGTATAAAAGTAATCTTCCATGGTAAACCTTATTTGTAAAGATACATGAAGAATAACAAAGCCATAAACTGTAACGTGTGGAAGGACGGCAGTAACATCGGCCTTGCGGCGACAGTAGATGAAAATAAGTGACTTTGTTAAGTGAATAGTGTGGTGGTTCTCCATTAGTAACACCTACAGCCACCATGACCAACAACAAGTTTCTGGAGGCGATGCAGTCCAAGCTGAGGTTGAGGAACGTTATGTTCAGGGAGTTCCTGGCAGAGTTCCTGGGTACCTTCATCCTAATTGTGAGTATAACACTCCTTCCTGTGTTTATCAGCAGCAGTAGCTCCTGTCCACACAGGGATCATGTATGACGGGATAGGTAGGTGTCAAGATGCTGATCATTTAAAATGCTGTAATAAGACTGCTTTGTAAGGTCGTATCCCTATGATTTTTTTTCACACTGATAAATTATATTTTAAATATATGAATATTCGTTTACCGGCAAGAAACTTTGCATACAGTATTCACTTACATTTTCAAGTGGAGAGGGAAAGTCTCATGAGCGAGGGAGGGGCGGGGCTCCATCTTTGTTTCACAAGCAATGTGGTGGTCAGCGGTGGTAGTATACTGTTGGTGGACGTGTCATTATATACCAGATGATCAATAGTCGGTTCAGAGCCTCACGTCTTCAGCTGTAACCTTGGCGATGTTGGTAGCAGGTTTAGGTGTTGTAATGTAGGTCTCTCCAGCGCACTGGGAGCACTCCGCTCATGTTGATGCTGGAAAAGTGGTGGTGGCTAGGGCAGACTAGTGTGGTCGCCTGCGTCACGGGAGAACTGCTTTTCAGATCGGCAACTGATTATTATTTGAAAATACGAGGAATAGTGCTTGGAAACTTCACACGAGTAAATAACATGATCATGATGTATTCTGGGAGAAACGATATCTTATATTTTAATATATCAAAGTTGACAATAACATACGTATATTGATTGACCACAGTACTCATTTCTCTCTTGGTTTTGAACAGTTTCTCTCACTTTGATTAAATGAAGAGCGACAGGCAACTGATCCTTACCAAGGTAAACTTAGTCTCAACACAGACCTACCATGACCTCTTCACTAGAAACTGTATTACACCAACTGCTGCCTCACTCTTCACCACACTACACGCACTACTGCCTCACCCTTCACCACACTAGACCAAATGCTGCCTCACTCTTCACCACACTAGACCAACTGCTGCCTCACTCTTCACCACACTACACCCATTACTGCCTCACTCTTCACCACACTAGACCAACTGCTGCCTCACTCTTCACCACACTAGACCAACTACTGCCTCACTCTTCACCACACTACACCCATTACTGCCTCACTCTTCACCACACTAGACCAACTGCTGCCTCACTCTTCACCACACTAGACCAACTGCTGCCTTACTCTTCACCACACTAGACCAACTGCTGCCTCACCCTTCACCACACTAGACCAACTGCTGCCTCACCCTTCACCACACTAGACCAACTGCTGCCTCACTCTTCACCACACTAGACCAACTGCTGCCTCACTCTTCACCACACTACACCCATTACTGCCTCACCTTCACCACACTAGACCAACTGCTGCCTCACTCTTCACCCACACTACACCCATTACTGCCTCACCCTTCACCACACTAGACCAACTGCTGCCTTACTCTTCACCACACTAGACCAACTGCTGCCTCACCCTTCACCACACTAGACCAACTGCTGCCTCACCCTTCACCACACTAGACCAACTGCTGCCTCACTCTTCACCACACTAGACCAACTGCTGCCTCACTCTTCACCACACTACACCCATTACTGCCTCACTCTTAATATTGGAAGAATAAATACTGATAATGTATACAGCCTTAACAACATCAACCTAGAGAAGTCGACTTGTGAAAGAGACCTAGGGGTACTTGTAAGCCCGGACCCACGGCCTAGAAAACAGTGCGTTAATGTTCGAAATAAGGCAAACAGAGTATTGGGTTTTATATCTAGAAGTGTAAGTAACAAGTGTGCGGAGGTCTTATTGCAACTATATCTTGCGCTAGGCAGGCCGCACCTCGATTATGCGGTTCAGTTCTGGTGCCCTTATTATAGAATGGATATCAATTCACTTGAGTCGGTGCAGCGAAGAATGACAAAAATGATTCCTGGACTTAGAAACCTTCCATATCAGGATAGGTTAAAGAAACTTAACTTGCATTCCCTAGAAAGGCGAAGAGTGCGGGGAGATATGATAGAAGTATGTAAGTGGGTGAAAGGAATCAATAAAGGGGATATAGATAAAGTTCTTATAATATCCGAGCAGGATAGGACTCGGAGCAACGGATTTAAGTTGGATAAGTTTAGGTTTAGGAGGGAGATAGGAAGAAACTGGTTCACAAATAAGGTGGTGGATGAGTGGAACAAGCTTAGCAACTTTGTAGTAAGTGCTGGAACGATGGAAAGTTTCAAAAGGAGGCTAGATAGATTCATGGATGATAGAGAGTGGTAGTAACTCTCGACAGGAGCTGCCATGCACAGGCCAACCGGCCTATTGCAGACTCCTTATTTTCTTATGTTCACCACACTAGACCAACTGCTGCCTCACTCTTCACCACACTACACCCATTACTGCCTCACCCTTCACCACACTACATCCACTACTGCCTCACCCTGCACCACACTACACCCACTACTCTCTCACCCTTCACCATACTACACCCATTACTGTCTCACCCTTCACCACACTACACTCATTACTGTCTCACCCTTCACCACACTAGACCAACTGCTGCCTCACTCTTCACCACACTACACTCATTACTGCCTCACCCTTCACCACACTAGACCAGCTGCTGCCTCACTCTTCACCACACTAGACCACTGCCTCACTCTTCACCACACTACACCCATTACTGCCTCACCCTTCACCACACTACATCCACTACTGCCTCACCCTGCACCACACTACACCCACTACTCTCTCACCCTTCACCATACTACACCCATTACTGTCTCACCCTTCACCACACTACACCCACTGCTGCCTCACCGTTCACCACACTACACCCATTACTGCCTCACCCTTCACCACACAACTGCCACTGCTGCCTAACCTTTCACCACACTATACCCATTACTGCCTCACCCTTCACCACACTACACCCACTACTGCCTCACTCTTCACCACACTACACCCACTACTGCCTCACCCTTCACCACACTACACCCACTGCTGCCTCACCCTTCACCACACTACACCCACTGCTGCCTCACCTTCACCACACTACACCCACTGCTGCCTCACCTTCACCACACTACACCTACTGCTGTCTCACCCTTCACCACATTACACCCATTACTGCCTCACCCTTCACCACACTACACCCACTGCTGCCTCACTCTTCACGGCTTTACCATACTGTACTCTCTGTTGCTGGCGAGGGATGATGGGAGTGCTCGCCGCTAAGAGGTATTTGGTGTCCTGGTTGATATCAGTGATAATGCTTTGTTCGGTCTGGTAATGTTCCAACATTCACACACCTGCGTCCTCGTCCGTGAGGTGGTGCGTATTCCAGGTAACCCCGACCAGACGTAGCATTCACTAGTCTTCCATGAACAAATATGACGAGAAGCACTATGTAACTGTATTATTCGCTGGAAATTCACTATTGTGTTGTTCTGTTTTGTGTTTTTTGATATTTATATATAAGTTTGCAAAGCTAGAAATTAAAAACAAGTAGGGAATGTGCAGTGTGATCGTGATTGCAAACATAATGTCCTTTTGTTAGTCAACAGGTATTGTGTATGAACAGATCCCCAGAATTTATGGCAATAAGTCTTCTGTAGGACTCACTCAGGAGTGTCGCTCATAACACTCGTATATACCACCACGTTCGACAATTCTGGTTGTTACTTGAACATCTTTCATAATAAATTGTCTTACTGCCCAAATGTCAATCAACATTACACAACTTAGGTTGTCTGCGTCCATATTTTTAAGTGCATCACAGCTCTATGAATACCAATTCTCTCTGAATGATTGGTTAATTAAATAACAGACCGAGTGTTTCATTAGCTGATGTTCCTTAATACAAAAGTTTTAGTTACTGTTGTTAAACATTTGCTGACGGACAAAAAACTTTGAGGGAGAACCCTAGGAGAAGTATGATCACACATTACCACTGGAAAATAAAATTAAACTAGCCAGTGTTCTGTAGCTCCCGCGGGGATGATCCAGCTCCCTCCCCACGCTACACCCTCGCTAACTATAAGATATTTTAAGCATTGTTTTCACTCAAAAAACAAACAAACAAAAAAACAACAATAATTATCGCAAACCGTAACATCAAGATGAAACTCAGTATTCCCCTCAACACTTGTGACCTTCACAAGTTTCACCTGCTCCAAGTTTTAACTAATTTTGTACCTTTTCTCTGTCGTATATGAGTCGCTTATGAACATCCTTGTATTTGGAGCGCCAATAACATGAAGCTCGTAACAATGATATACTATGACGGTGTCTACAAGTACACCTGAAACGGCTGTGACGGCATCTACAAGTATACCAGAGACGGCTGTAACGGCTTCTACAAGTACACCGGAGACGGCTGTGACGGCATTTACAAGTATACCAGAGACTGCTGTAAAGGTGTCTAAAAGTATACCAGAGACGGCTGTAACGGCGTCTACAAGTATACCAGAGACGGCTGTAACACAGACAGCTGTGACGGCATTTAAGTATACCAGGACAGCTGTAACAGCGTCTACTGAAGAGACGGCTGCGGCTTCTACAAGTACACCAGAGACGGCTGTGACGGCATCATTCTTGGTTTACCAAAGTATACAGAACTGTAACAGTTGTCTGCAGAGACGGCTGTGCTCTTCTCAAGTACACCAGGACACGGCATCAACAAAGTATACCAGGACAGGCTGATAACACGGGGCGACAGCATGACGGTGTCTAAAGTATACAAGACTTGGTGTCTAAAGTATACCAGGGCAGGCTGTAACGGCATCTACAAGTATACCAGGGGCTGACGTGACTACAGTACACCAGAGACGGCTGTGACGGCATCTACAAGTATACCAGAGACGGCTGTAACAGATGTCAGAGACGGCTGTAACGGCGTCTACAAAGTATACAGAACCGGCTTGATGATGCTGCTGAAATATAAGGGCACGGTGTCAAAAGTACGCCAGAGACGGCTGTAACGGCGTCTACAAATACCAGAGACTGTAACGGCATCTAGTATACCAGAGACGGCTGTAACGGCATCTACAAGTATACCATGTAACGGCGTCTACAAATATACCAGAGACGGCTGTAACGGCGTCTACAAATATACCAGAGACGGCTGTAACGGCGTCTACAAATATACCAGAGACGGCTGTAACGGCGTCTACAAGCATACCAGAGACGGCTGTAACGGTGCTAAAGCACACCAGAGACGGCTGTAACGGCATCGCGAGACGCTGTAGCGGCATCTACAAGTATACCAGAGACGGCTGTAACGGTGTCTACAAGTACACCAGAGACGGCTGTAACGGCGTCTACAAGTCAGAGACGGCTGTAACGGTGTAAAAGTATACCAGAGACGGCTGTAACGGTGTCTACAAGTATACCAGAGACGGCTGTAACGGTGTCTACAAGTATACCAGAACGACAAGGAGACGGCTGTAACGGTGTCTACAAGTATACCAGAGACGGCTGTAACGGCATCTACAAGTATACCAGAGACGGCTGTAACGGTGTCTAAAAGTATACCAGAGACGGCTGTAACGGTGTCTACAAGTATACCAGAGACGGCTGTAACGGTGTCTACAAGCATACCAGAGACGGCTGTAGCTATACCAGCGGCTGTAGCGGCATCTACAAGTATACCAGAGACGGCTGTAGCGGCATCTACAAGTATACCAGAGACGGCTGTTACGGTGTCTACAAGTATACCAGAGACGGCTGTAACGGCATACACAGAGACGGCTGTAACGGTGTCTAAAAGTATACCAGAGACATATAACGGTGTCTACAAGTATACCAGAGACGGCTGTAACGGTGCCCAGAGACGGCTGTAACGGTGTCTACAAGTGCACACGGACGGCTGTAACGGTGTCTACAAGTATACCAGAGACGGCTGTAGCGGCATCTACAAGTATACCAGAGACGGCTGTAGCGGCATCTACAAGTATACCAGAGACGGCTGTAACGGTGTCTACAAATACCAGAGACGGCTGTAACGGCATCTACACCAGACGGCTGTAACGGCATCTACAAGTACACCAGAGACGGCTGTAACGGTGTCTAAAAGTATACCAGAGACGGCTGTAACGGTGTCTACAAGTATACCAGAGACGGCTGTAACGGCGTCTACAAGTTACACCAGAGACGGCTGTAACGGTGTCTAAAAGTATACCAGAGACGGCTGTAACGGTGTCTACAAGTATACCAGAGACGGCTGTAGCGGCATCTACAAGTACACCTGAGACGGCTGTAACGGTGTCTAAAAGTATACCAGAGACGGCTGTAACGGCATCTACAAGTATACCAGAGACGGCTGTAACGGTGTCTACAAGTATACCAGAGACAGCTGTAACGGCATCTACAAGTACGCCAGAGACGGCTGTAACGGCGTCTACAAGTACACCTAAGACGACTGTGACGGTGTCTACAAGTACACCAGAGACTGCTGTGACGGTGTCTACAAGTACACCAGAGACGGCTGTGACGGCGTCTACAAGTACACCTGAGACGACTGTGACGGTGTCTACAAGTACACCAGAGACGGCTGTGACGGCGTCTACAAGTACACCTGAGACGACTGTGACGGTGTCTACAAGTACACCAGAGACGGATGTAACGGCACCTACAAGTACACCAGAGACGGCTGTGACGGCGACCAAAGTACACCTGAGACGGCTGTGACGGTGTCTACAAGTACACCAGAGACGGCTGTAATGGCATCTACAAGTACACCCGAGGCGGCTGTGACGGCGTCCACAAATGCGCCTGAGACGGCTCTGATGGCGTTATAGATACACCTAAGACGGCTGTGAAGGTCTTTACACCCGCAGTATGCTATGAGTGAGTGGTGTTAAACTGGTGAAAGAAACAATAATACAGTGGGTTTATAGAGATGACTGAGAAATTCATGCATCAACAACAGTTCAGATATAACACTTGTCAGCTTACTAGCCGTTTGGGTGGTCTATCCAGTGATCTTTAAGTGGTGATGATCCGAAATGGCGGTGATCTAAAGGGGTAGTGATCCTAAGTGGTGGGGATCTTAAGTTGTGGTGATCTTAAGTGGTGAAAATTCTAAGTGGTGATAAATTTGCTCAAGTTGCGGTGACTATAGCTACGTGGCATGGACCTAGGCAATATGATGGTAGTCTGGGCCAGGTGGCGGTGATCAGAGCCAGTTGGTGGTGATATGGGTCAGGCGGTGGTGATCTGGGCCAGATGGTGGTGATCTGGGACAGGTGGTGTTGATGGAGGGTAGATAGACACCTATCTTAATCACATAATATGGCAATGGTTTTTATTTCTACTGATAAGTAAATGTGTTAAGCTTAGGAATTTAAATGTTGTGATGGAGGTGATATGAATGAGGAGTTGTGATAAAGGTGTTGTGATGAAGGTGTTGTGAAAAAGGTGCTGTAATGGAGGTGTTGTGATGGAGGTGCTGTTAATGAAGTGTTGTGATGGAGGTGTTGTGATGGAGGTGTTGTGTTGGAGATATTGTGGCGAAGGTGTTGTGATGAAGGTGTTATGATGGAGGTGCTGTGATGGAGGTGTTGTGATGAAGGTGTTGTGATGGAGGTGTTGTGACTGAGGTGTTATGATGAAGGTGTTGTGAATAAGGTGCTGTGATGGAGGTGTTGTGATGGAGGTGTTGTGAATGAGGTGTTGTGAATGAGGTGTGAATGAGGTTGTGTTATGGAGGTGTTGTGATGGAGGTGTTGTGATAAAGGTGTGATGAAGGTGCTGTGTTGAAGGTGATGTGGTGGAGGTGTTGTGAATGAATGAGGTGTTGAGATAAAGGTGTTGTGATGGAGGTGTTGTGATGGAGCTGTTGTGATGAAGATGTTGCGAATGTGGTGTGGTGATGAAGGTGTTGTGTTGGAGATATTGTGATGGAGGTGTTGTGATGGAGTTGTTGTGATGCAGGTGTTGTGATGGAGGTCTTGTGATGAAGGTGTTGTGTTGGAGATGCTGTGATGCAGGTGTTATAAGGGAGGTGTTGTGCTGGAGGTGCTGTGAATTAGGTGTTGTGATTAAGGTGTTGTAATGGAGGTGTTGTGATGGAGGTGTTGTGTTGAAGGTATTGTGTTGGAGATATTTTGATAGAGGTGTTGTGATGAAGGTATTGTGAAGGAGGTGTTGTGATGAAGGTGCTGTGATGAAGGTGTTGTGATGAGGGTGTTATGATGGAGGTGTTGTGATAAGAACATAAGAATGGAGGCAACTGCAGCGGGCCTATTGGCCCATACTGGACAGTCCCGTTTACACCCAACCCCTATTGCTCATATAAGCATCCAACCTATGTTTGAAGCTATCCAGCGTATTCGAGTTAATGATGATGTTTGGTAACTTGTTCCATTCATCCACTACTCTGTTTCCAAACCAATGTTTACCTATTTCGCGCCTAAATCTAAATTTGTCTAATTTAAAACCATTGTTAAGAGTTCGCTCCAGGTTGGATACTTTGAGTACCTTAGTAATGTCCCCTTTGTTTAGCCCTGACTTCCATTTATACACCTCTATCAGGTCGCCCCTCACTCTACGTCTCTCGAGGAGTGCAAATTAAGATGCTTTAACCCGTTCTATACTCCATGTCTCCTAATGCCCGGGATTAGTCTTGCTGGCCTCTTCTGAATTCTTTTGCAAGGATCATATCTATTCTGTATCATTACGGTGACCAGAACTGAACTGCGTAATCCAGTGTGAGGTCTCGAAGGCGCAAGATATAATCGTAAGATGACCTCAATTAGTCTTGTAACTAAACACATGATGTTGTGATGAAGGTATTATGAAGGTGTTGTGATGGAGGTGTTGTGAATGTGTTGTGGGACGGAAAGTGCTGTGGGTGGAAATGTTGGGGATGAAGGTGTTAAGAAGGTGCTGTGGATGGAGGTGTTGTGAAGGAAGCAAGGTGATGAAAGTACAGATGGAGGTAAGGTAATGTGTTTGTGACGAAGGTGCTGTGATGGAGGTGTTGTGATGAAGGTGTTGTGATGGAGGTGTTTTGAATGAGGTGTTGTGATAAAGGTGCTTTGATGAAGGTGTTGTGTTGGAGATATTGGTGGGGTGTTGTTATGGAGGTGCTGTGATGAAGGTGTTGTGTTTGAGATATTGTGTTGGAGGTGTTGTGAATGAGGTGTTGTGATTGAGGTGTTGTGATGAAGGTGTTGTGATGAAAGTGTTGTGATGGAGGTGTTGTGATGAAGGTGTTGTGATGGAGGTGTTGTGATGGAGGTGTTGTGATGAAGGTGTTGTGTTGGAGATATTGTGGTGGGAGTGTTGTGATGAATCTGTTGTGATGAAGGTGTTGTGATGAAGGTGTTGTGTTGGAGGTGTTGTGATGAAGGCGTTATGTTGTAGATATTGTGATGGAGGTGTTGTGATGGAGGTGTTGTGAATGAGGTGTTGTGATTGAGGTGTTGTGATGAAGGTGTTGTGTTGGAGATAATGTGATGGAGGTGTTGTGGATAAGAACATAAGAATGGAGGCATCCGGTAAGTGGGCCCATTGGCCCATACTGGACAGTCCTGTTTACACCCAACCCCTATTGCTCATATAAGCATCCAACCTATGTTTGAAGCTATCCAGCGTATTCGAGTTAATGATGATGTTTGGTAACTTGTTCCATTCATCCACTACTCTGTTTCCAAACCAATGTTTACCTATTTCGCGCCTAAATCTAAATTTGTCTAATTTAAAACCATGAAGGTGCTGTTCGGAGGTTGTTGTGAATGGGCCCTGAGTCGTTGTGATGGATGGTGTTTGTGATTCTTTGCAAGGATTCTATATCTATTCTGTAATACGGTGACCAGAACTGAACTGCGTAATCCAGGTGAGGTCTCACAAGCGCAAGATATAATCGTAAGATGACCTCACTAGTCTTGTAACTAACACATGATGTTGTGATGAAGGTATTATGAAGGTGTTGTGATGGAGGTGTTGTGAATGTGTTGTGATGAAAGTGCTGTGGTGGAAATGTTGTGATGAAGGTGTTATGAAGGTGCTGTGATGGAGGTGTTGTGAAGGAAGTGTTGTGATGAAAGTGTTGTGATGGAGGTGTTGTGAATGTGTTGTGATGAAGGTGCTGTGATGGAGGTGTTGTGATGAAGGTGTTGTGATGGAGGTGTTGTGAATGTGTTGTGATGAAGGTGCTGTGATGGAGGTGTTGTGAAGGGAGTGTTGTGATGGAGGTGTTGTGATGAAGGAAGTGTTGTCATGGAGGTGTTTGTTGGAGGTGTTGCGATGGAGGTGCTGTGGTGGAGGTGTTGTGATGAAGGTGTTGTTATGGAAGTATTGTGATCGAGGTGTTGTATTGGAAATATTGTGATGGAATGTGTTGTGATGAAGGTTTTGTGATGGAGGTGTTGTGATGATGGTGCTGTAATGGAGGTGTTGTGATGGAGGTGCTGTGATGGAGGTGTTGTAGTGGAGGTGTTGTGGTGGAGGAATGATGAAGGTGCTGTGATGAAGGTGCTGTGATGGAGGTGATGTGGTGGAGGTGTTGTGATAGAGGTGTTGTTTTGGAGATGTGGTGATGAAGGTGTTGTGAAGGAGGTTTTGTGATGGAGGTGTTGTGATGAAGTTATTGTGTTGGAGATGTTGTGATAGAGGTGTTATGATGGTGTTGATTGCTGCAGTTGTCGTAAGGTGCCGTCATCCTCGCCGATCACTGCATGCAGCCTGGACATGCGACTTCAGGTCATGCCCAAGTGAGCTGTTTATCTTCAACATCCGGCTGGCCATGGGGCGGTACTGTGTGTGACATTTGACAGAGAAAGACAATCCTAAATAGATGATGGACTAGTTTGAAGTGCATCCACAAAAAAAAAATATTCACTTTATACATTTCATCAATTTTTGGTAACTATGGTATCTGTCCTGACAATGTGTTATAGGTAGAAGGATAAATCGTAGCAAAATTTACCTCAGGGATTATTATAAGGTATTGGCGAGTAGGGTTAAGTCCGAGATAAGGAGAGCTAAGAGGAACAATGAAGTGAAGATAGCAAGGGAGCCAAAGACAAACCCCAAAGGATTCTACCAAATGTATCAAACTAAAACACGAGAAAAGATTGGACCAATACTGTCAGATACCGGCGAGCTAACTGATAACGACGGAGAAATGAGCAATAATCTGAATAAATATTTTTCAACAGTTTTCACCACCGAAAATTTAAACATGATACCTGAGGAACCGACTCTTTTCACATATAGTGAAGAAAACAAATTAAGCGAGATAGTAGTGACTAGTAACGATGTTAGTAAGCAAATAGACAAACTAAAGCCTAATAAGTCACCTGGTCCCGATGAGATATTTGCCAGAGTATTAAAGAAATGTAAGGAAGAGCTTAGTATGCCCTGAGCAAGTTTGTTTAACATGCCCTTAAAAACAGGTGTAGTACCAGAATCCTGGAGGATAGCTAATGTAATACCAATTTTCAAGAAGGGGGATAGATCACTATCCTCTAACTACTGCCCAATCAGTCTAACATCAATAGTAGGCAAATTACTGGAAGCAATAATTTCAAACTCTATTCGAAATCACCTGGAGAAGCACCAATTGATCAATGATTCCCAGCATGGCTTCACAAGCGGGCATTCATGTCTAACTAATCTATTAACATTCTTTTCACCAGTTTTCGAATCGGTGGACGAGGGGCACAATTATGATGTGGTATATC